CCAAAAAAAAAAAAAAAAAAAAAAAAGTCATCAAAATAATCGAAAAAAAAGATATGTGATGGATAAAAATAAATTAAACAAGATTTGCCCGAGCATTACGTCCGAATTCCTTACCAAATTTAAAATAAAAATAATATACACAGAACAAATATAAAAGGGTCTTTACCCGATGGAGGCCTCAGGCCTTGTAAAAGAAAAGCAGCACGGGCCTTGAAAACGTAAAGCATTGTCAAAACGTATCTCGCCAAAGCTCAGAAACGTGAAAGCAGGTCAAAGGTCAAGTTCTCTATCAACAGGCACATCTAAATCTAAGGAAAAGGGCATTGTCAAAGGACTTACCTGTTCACCAGGAGCTGTGTATGTCATGTCTGTTCGGGTAAGAGTGTGTCTGTACGTGCGGACAGTGTACCTGTTCGTGCAAAGGAATGTGTATGTTTGTTTAGAGTTGTGCCTGTCTGAAAGCCAACTCAATAGGCACAGTCCCAGTTCTGGTCTAAGTCAAGGGGTCAGTCAAGATCCAGACTTTGAAATCCAAATCTAGGCCGAGAGGCCTCAGCAGCAATCGAACCTCATTGGGACTACACTGGGACACATGCAATGCAGGGTCTGGGACAAAGGGCAGGCTGCATTGAGCCAATGCAAACCCAGCGAGGAGTGGCCAACACTATAAAGAAAGCTGCCAGCCTCATTCCTCGTCAGATATCCACTGGCTTGAATGCGTGGAAGTGCTGGTGCGCTTGTGCGTTAGTCAGTAGGAGTAGCGTTGGAGGAAGGAAGATGCGCTAAGAGGGAAGATGAAGACTGTGCGCTGGAAGAGATGCAGCCATGCTGCCCAGCGAGTTAGTAAGTAGAGTAGAAGGGTTAGTACTTAGCTATGAGTGGTATCCAGAGTAGATCCTTGAGAGAACAGTGTGTGCATGCATCGTAGGAGAAGGAGATTGAGACGAAGAGTGTTCATTCAAGGTTTGGCTATGAGAGACACTTACCTGAGTTGATTGTGAACTGCAAGTTGGTGCTGATGAGTCGTGACCATATTGATGACTAGGAGACAATCTGCAGAGGTAGCGCTGATGCCTTGGAAGACATATTGATGAGTTGAGCAGAGATTTGGGTTGCGCTGATGAGCGCTGGACTCAGGGGAACATTGGACACTTTGTAATCATATTTCTCATAATATAAGTTGTGAGACTCGGTTCTTTTCTTCTCTACCTTTGTCTATGGTTGAGACTATTGATCACTGCGTGTGAAGATGATGCATGACATGTACACATCTGCGTGAGATGGTCCCCAGGACCCATGCAAATACTAATAATAACAATAAATAAAAATACAAAGAGAATTAAATTTAGTGAGTGCACGAGCATGTTTTCGACACCGCCATCTTTGGCGATTTTTCATTTTTTTTTTGGAATAGCTAAATGCCCTGAAAATTTACAGATATGTACTTCATATAATACAAAACCCACTAAAAAAGTTTCAAAAAATAATAAAATTTGTGAGACCCCGAACTAAAGTGAAAACAAAAAGTAAAAAGTGAAAAAAAACGTGGGCGAGCACATTTTGACACCGCCATCTTTGGCGATTTGTAATTCTTATTTAGCTCAGCCAAATGACTTGAAAATTTATAGGCATGTACCTCACGTCATAGAGAACTCGTAAAAAAACTTTCAAAAAAGAAATGTTATTTTTACACCCCGGGATAATTTTTGGCGGGGGCCGAACGCCGTCGGGTTCGGGCCCCGTACGGGACCCCG